GGAAGTATACTTTATTCTATTCCCATCGTGTGCCTTGCTTATGTGTATTACTCTATGGGACCACTTAGGACTTTTGGTGAATTGTTGAATAAGAGTGATGAGTGTACAACCTTTCTTGGTTCCAGTTTTAGGACAGAGGAATATTCTTTCATCATTATGTTTAACGTTAGCTGTAGGATTTGAGGACATTTGTCATGTTAAATAAGTTGATAGTTCTTCATAGTAATTTGAATTTTGTCAAACAATTTTTCTGGACCTATAGAGGCGATGGCATGGTCATTTCTTCTTCAGTTTGTTTGCATGGTGTCACAAACTGATTGCTTGACAAATATTGACCCAGACTTGCAATTCAATTGATTCTGTTTTATAATGTTTTACTGAAAACCTCTGTGTTCTGTAGGAACACCAACCATTAAAGGAGGATAATATAATATTTTGTGGATTTTGTCTGGATTTGTGTTGTACAATGTAGTCCTTTCAGAATGAAGGAGAATATGTTCTTATTTTTATTTTCTACACTGAAAAGAACAAATACCATGTTGTTTTGATAAATATTCAATGTGACTTGCAAGTGAAATAATGTTGTCTTAGAATTTTCTTCCATGAAAAATGTTCACTATGATTTTGGTGAACATAAAATTCTTTAGGTTATCACTTCCTTGTTAATGAATTTTAATACTTTTCTTTGAAAGAATCTACCACAAATGAATTATTACATACAGTTATTTGTAGTATTCTATGCTATTAGTTTAATGTCTGTAAGATCTTTCTTGTTAGCCTGCATTTCACTGATGATATTGGTAATCCATGTCTTCTGTCTCTTTATTTTTATTTTGGATAATCAAATACAATCATTAGATATATTTATTTGTTTATTTATTTATCTATTTATTTATTTCCCCATATTGAAGACTTTGGTTTCTATGTTGAGTTCCTGGTCTGAGGCTGTTCCATACAAACGTTGCGTTCTACTTTTTTTCTAGCTTAGCCATTATATTAAGTTGGTTGTTCTTCCTTTAATCTTGCAGTTAATGGTTTTGCTCTAGCATTGTTTTTTATTTTATGCTTCTGGTCACAGATGGAAGCATCATCAGCATTTCCTTTAGAAAGGCCCTTCTGGTAATGAATACACCAATGATAAAAACAGGGAATAAAGCAGACAAAATAGATTTTGAAAGACAATAGAAATTTAGTACTAAACAGGTAGATTTTCTGAAGCAAAATTACATACTTAACTCATAAATTGCCCCCCCCACCGCCTATCCCTATTTCAGGAACCAAAGGAAATCTTCAGAAGAATTTGTGCTCCCTAGCAATGAAGGTCATCCATGTAAGAATTGGCTGAGCAGTAACAGCGACAAAAATAGCCTCCCTTCGTCTCTTTCTTTTTCCAGCCAGCCCCCAAATTGAGATGTACAGAGTCCATCCATAAGCCAACCAGCATGAGGGAAACATTAAAAGCATCTCTTTATCCTTGACTTTCACAAGAACAGGAACAAGTTAAGTACTTATGCCTTTATTTTATAAAGTCATGTAACCTTACTTATCTGTTTACATCTGACTAAATGCATCCCTAAAGCCAGCTACATCTGACTAAATGTATGCCTAAATCCAGCTTGCATCTGAAAGGGTTTTCTGATGAAAATGCCCAGAAGACATCCCTTTGCCTTTGCCTCCATGTCTCTGATGCTCCCACTCAATCCCACCTTCAGGACTTCAGGAAACTAAATCACTGACTCTCTTTCATTGGAATTCTGTTCCTTGTCCAAGAATCAGGGATAACCGGGACTCACATTTAAAATCCTAGTTCTGTTTTTAAATGTGGCCTTGTTCATTTCACAGAAACTGTCCTGATAACCTAATTTAAAATGCAAGCCCCATCTTCAGTGATCCTCATCTACTAGGTCTGGAGGGAAGCCCAGCACCAATCACTCCCACATGTGGTTCTGATGATTAACTATGTTCAGTCTGTTCCATTACTGCCTGGAGTTGGCTGCTCAATCCCACTGGAAATTTAATGCTTTGTAATTTAAGCACCTTTCACATTCCTGCCATTTACAGAACAGAGCTGCACCCCAGTGCTCATCCTCAGCAGTCACAAGCTAAACTCTGTCCCTACTACCAACCCACCCTCATCCTGCTGGGCTTTCCTTCCAAACCTGCAACTATGCCAGATAGAAAACAAATTTGTTCTTGGTTTTTTTGTATTTGCTTCATTTATAAAGAAAACATTAAAACCATCTGGGCCTTTTTCTTCAAAAACCACAATAGGTATCTTTACCTGAATTTTCAATTTCTTTTTGAGAAGACAATGTCTTTTATAGCTTTCCTAAAGGTGACCATCTTTTTAACACCCCATGACATAAGGTCTACACTGAGCCACATTTAACTCCCAAATCTTGCCATTTCATAATTACTTGTCTCTCCGTGTATAAAATACATTATTCCCGCCGGGCATTGGTGGTGCATGCCTTTAATCCCAGCACTTGGAAGGCAGAGGCAGGTGGATTCTCTGCAAGTTCAAAGCCAGCCTGGTCTCCAGAGTGAATGCCAGGATAGGCTCCAAAGCTACACAGAGAAACCCTGTCTCAAAAAAATATGTATTATTCCCTGCCATCTACTTTATCAAAAACATGCCTTGCATGTCTGACATTCACATTTATTGAAGAACTCAGTCTTAATTTCTAAAGTCATCTTCTCTAATTCCAAACCCTGCAATGGTATATTAATTTAACATATAAAGCAGTTTTTTTTAAAAAAAACAAAACACAAAAACCTTGAAATATATATGTGATGACTGGTGGTTAGTAACTTTCGATTCTACCAAATCTGAAGTACATTTTAAGTAGAATGCCTTATTATGTTTAACACTTTGGTGTTTTTCTATCTGACCCCAGGTTTCTCTGTAAGGTTTATTGAATGTTATCATCTATTTACTCTCATTTTTGTTTTGCTTTGTTTATTTCTTCTTTCCAGAGGTATTGAAAGAGTGGTCACTACAAAATCTTGCATTTATCTTTTGAATATGTATTATGCCCCTTCTACCATAGCCTTTATCCCAGAATGGCAATCACAGGAAGTTTGCTTTAGTGTCTACAACTAGCAATGGGGACAATGTTCACATCTGAAATGATAGTAGGTTCTTATTACAGGCAAGTTTGACTCCCAAGCAACATCCAATAGTGTCCCTATAGAACATTTTAATATAAGTATATTATCAAAGGCTGAAGCCCAGTAGCAAGGAAAAATTCCATTCAATAGCTGACCTCCTTGCCTGTTTTCTTCTGAGGATGATTAATTGGACTGGCCAATTAATACATCTAGTTAGAAATCACTTTCATAGACGCGAATTTCTGAAGGAAATAAAAAGAACACTGAAGAGGACAAGGTCAGAAATAAATGTCTCATTTAAAAGACTGGCTGCATGTTTAATTTAGGAATAACATACCAGGTAACAGAAGGAGAGACTACGAAGGGAGATTGGAGCTGAAGAGCAGTCAGCAGTGGGGTAACTTAGCCTACAATTCTGATAGACTGCATCCTTCTGGTCTCATCAATGCCAACCTCTTCTTCTGAAACATCTTTGAGGTTGATAATCTAATTATTTACTTATAAAGCTAGGTAGAGTGAAATCTATTCCCCTGAATTATCTATTTTAATGAATCCAATGAGGATTTCTTATTTGATACACAGTGAACATTGCTAATACAGACCTTTATGTGTCTCAGTGTTAGAAGGACTATTATAGATTTCATAATCCTACATACCTGCAACTTCCATCAAACCAGAAATAACAATCATCAAATTTTACACACAACGAAAACATCCATTAATAAAATCCTTGTTCTATCATAGGAAAACCAACATATCTCCTTGGATCCTGAATTAGTATCATAACTTCCATATATTTGAACTAAGCTCAAATATGGAATCTATTCTTCTATGGTTGATTTGTATATAAGTTGAGTCTACCAGAAGTTCAGGTGTTTGTTGTTTGATCCTCAGTGTACCAACAGTACAAGCTGTTGGGGCTATTAAGTGATGGATCATAGTCAGGGAGTCATTCGAACAAATGGTGAAGAGCATCAAAAAGGATCTAATGTAATTCTTGTAGGATCCCAGTTAGTTCTCATGAAAGGATTTTAGAAAAGAGCAGAAAACCGTTTCCTCCCTCTTGAATATGCTTTTCTATGATGTCATACACAATGAAGTATTTGTGCCATGAAATCATCACTAAAGTCAAGAATTTACTCTTGAACCTCTAGAGCTATGAACTAAATTAACTTCTTTTTATTATATTGTACCTATACTCAAGCATTTCATTATAATAACAAAAAATTAACTACTAAAATAGCTATTTTCAGCTATATTAAACCACAATGCAGTAAAAAGGTAATGTAAAATAATATGTATATGCAAATATGATCCTTCTTCACTTATTTTATTAAATTTTTATCCCAGTGAAATTATAATTTTAATACTGAAATTTCCATTGGAAAACTATAAATAGGCAATTGAATATTGTTTGACTAGTATAATTAAGAAGGCAATATTGGTTTGACATAGGTAGTTTATCAATGTATTTTGTTTTGTTCCAAATAGAGGATAGATTACAACTACTATTTTCTTCCAATTAATGCCTTGCAGTAGAAGATCAAACCTGTTCTCTAATGAGGCCATTTCCAGTGTGTGGAAGCCAGTTTCCTACCAGCCTCCTGGAAGGCATAGAGCTCTCTGGTTTAGATTTAGCTAGCCAGTGAAAACAACACTAAGAGATTAAAAACTAATACTAAATCATCCCACTTAATCCTTTATAGGATCAGAGTTTGTGAAACAGTCTGTCTTTTCTTCAAGTGCAAACAAGTCACTGTTAAACAGCATAGTAGAGCAATGAAAAGTAGCCACTATTAAAATGTCACAGAAAAGCAGAGCAGAGGAAAGTCATTGCAATGCCTAAGTTTTCAGAGAATAAGAATCAAGATAAAAGGAAAAGCTCTTACCATCTGCCAGCAAACAACCTGAACTGAAAGATATATCATCCACAGCTATAACTTCCTCTTGTCCGTGAGTGGCAAGCATGTGAGCTTGAAAAACAACCTGCATGAAAAATGCAAAACAAATCTGTTGTAGAATATTATTTTAAAGTGTGTTCCATTTGTTTATACTCTGGAACGTTTGTTGAATGAGGTAAAGCTGTGTTGCTTTTGTTTACGTTGTATTTGTTTAACTCTGTGAAGCTCTGATTCTTTGCCTCTCTAAAACACCTGGATGATATGGGATAATGCTTTGGTCACTGTGAAGATTTGTCACTTGTATTGGTTCAATAAAATGCTGGTTGGCCAGTAGCCAGGCAGGAAGTATAGGCAGGGCTACCAACTAGGAGAATTGTGGGAAGAGGGAAGGCAGAGGAGCAGTTGACAGCCAGACACAGTGGAAGCAAGAGGAGAGTGGCTTACTGAGGAAAGATACCAAGCCACGTGGCTAAACATAGGTAAGAAATATGGGTTAATTTAAGTTGTGAGAGCTTAATAGTAATAAGGCTGAGCAATGGGCCAAACAGTTTGTAATTACTACAAGCCTCCGTGTGTTTATTTGGGACTAGCTGCAGGACAGAAACTTCCATTTACACCTGATGGCCTAATAAAGAGCTGAACAGTCAATACTGAGGCAGGAGAAAGGATAGGTGGGGCTGGCAAGCAGTATAAATAGGAGAAACAAGGAAGAGGAAGAAGCAAGAGAATAAGGAGAGAAGGACATCAGAAGCCAGCCACCCAGCCATGCAGCCACCCAGACACGTAGCCAGGCATGGAGTAAGAGTGAAAGTAAGATCACAAAATTGAGAAAATGAAAAAGTCCATAGACAAAAGGTAGATGGATTAATTTAAGTTAAGAAAAGCTGGCTAGAAACAAGCCAAGCTAAGGCCAGACATTTATAAGTAATAATAAACCTGCAAATGTGTAAGTAAAACAGTGTAAAAAAACAAGCAACAACACAAAGCAAGGAGCACAACTGTCTCATGATGCTATAGAAGAGAGCCTACAAATAAGATGTGTTGTATGCCACTTCCTGGAAGTACTCAGGTACCACACAAATTCCAAGGAAAGGGGATCAAAGCAAATATTTTTAAGAATAAGACAATGTAGCCATCACTGTACTGAAGATATCTGGTGTGATTTGGGGCCCATGTTTCATGTAGCTTCTCTCCTACATCCTCCTTTACATTTTGAGTTCCCATATATGCCCAATATGTGTTCACATAAGTTTCATCTTAATCTCTGGACCTTGGCAATTTGTCCCATTTTTACTTGCAATTCTTCTAATTTTATTCACAGTCTTGGATATATGATCTACGTGTTATCATCTTGTACATTGCTAGCCATTAGTAGAATCATACTTGGAAAAATGACTTAGAATGAGTGAATTTTATGTCATGATGTATAGGCAACCCAAGTCTACATAGCAGGAAATATCTATGAATCATAGAAATCCTGAGAGAAGCCACTTCATTTTCTAACTATCTAAATCAATAGAAAGTTGGTGGACGATGGAAGCTTTATTTCAACCTCACCAAGGAATGCCAATGGTGCTATGGCTTCATTCAAGTGTGTATTAAACACGAGCAGATTGTTCAACCATTTTTTTTATTACATAAACACCGTCACTTCAGAAAATCAGTGTCCCCTCTTGGGTTAATGAATAATATGGATTCAGCAAAGAAAATCCCTGTCCTGAGTTGCATTCACTTTTGATCCTATACAACATGCTATTAGAGAATGCACGATTCCTTGCGAAGAAGATGTTGCCTAATTAAATATCTAATAAAAGATGTGTCCCACCTTGAGTAACCTAAAATGCAAGTCTAAGAGAGTCATATTCCCTCCACAAAATAGAAAAACTGAAAGATTTCATAGAAGCAGAATCATGTTGTAAAGATCCAGGAAAATGTTGTTAAATAAAGGTGATTTCTAAAAAAAAAAAAAAAGCAGTATGCTCCTCAGATGTGTTATATAAAATAATACTTATAAAAATAACCCATAGAGGTCCATAGCAGTGGCTCAGTGTTTAAGAGCAATGTTTACTCTTCCAGGGGACCCTGGTTTGGTTCCTAGCACCCACACAGCAGCTCACAAACATTCCTGTAAACCCAATTCCAGGGACCTAACAACTTTTCTGACCCATGCAGGCATCAGGCATGCAAGTAGTTCACAGACACGTACTCAGGCAAAACACTCATACACATAAAATAAAAGTAAAAAAAAACAATAAATATCCCATATGATACTATTTATACCAGGAAAACAAGTTATACTTAAAACGGTAACTGAGATTCAGTTCAGTGGGATAGTATGCCTTATATGCCTGAAGCCATAGTTACTCCCCTCAAAACTCATTTAATGTCATGCCAGGCACATGGCTTATACATTTAATACTAGGCTTTGGGAGGGAGACACTGGAGGCTCAGTAGTTCAAGACTCTCCTCAGTTGTGTAAGAAGTAGGAGCTTCATGAGACCCTATATTAAAAGAAAACTATAAGCCAGATAGATGAGAGCAATAACTGATCTTCCAAAGTACCAGGGTTTGATTCCCAGGAAGCCTGGTGTTAGCTCACATCCATTGGAGACGACTCCAGTACCAGAGGATCCAACAACCTCTTTCCCTTAACCACAGCTATTAGTCATGTATGTGGTATGTAGTTACACATGCAGGCACTCAAATAACATACTAAATAAGTAAATTAATTAATAAATAAACTTTTAAGAAATAAAATACAAGATTTAATACATTATTAACATTAAATGTTGTTAGCTACTGTTACTGTAACAGATACTAAATTATGAAAGCTATTCTAGGAATTATGCTTGTAAATACAAACCTCAATTTTTCTATAAATCATTCCTTTATTTTTCTGAGAATTTTTTCAGATGTCTGTGCTTTCTACCATATGCCAAATCAAGCATATCCCCACAGTCACCATATTTAAAATGAGAAATAGAAATAAATATCCGTTTCATCACTAGTCTCATTTCTGCTTCTCCCTCTCTCTCTAAAAGACCACCCATCATCAGAGTTGAGCTGATATCCAGCCTGAAGAAACACATATTTTACTTCACAAATGTTGGCCACTCTCCTGAGCTCTCCTCCGATGTCTCGGCTGCCTGCCAGGCATTTCCCCTTAAATGAGAAAAGTTACTTCGAATTCGTAAGATGCTACACTTTCTCCCCAAATTGAGCCTCTCACTTCACTCATTTGCTGACAATGAATCAGACTGCACCTCGGCGATGTTCAAAAGTCCAAAATGACCTTTAGAATCGCTTTCTCCTCAGGTCTCATGTCTAATCAGCCAAGACCTATTAAGTCTATGTCCTTTTTAGCCGTGTTTCCATTCCTAATTCCTAGTGCCTGATCTGTCCAAGCAGCCTTTAAATTAGCTCCCTGCCTTAATCCTCTCCTCATTAGAGTTTGCAATAGATATTATATGTTTATTTGGCTCAGTTAAATCACAGGCTAACTTGGTATAACTGAAGAAAAGTTACTATGAAAATTGGCTGCCATTTGAGACCCCAACCAAGCCAGGGGGACACTTTTCTTAAAAAAAAAAAAAAAAAAAAAAAAAAAAAGGGAAAGTTTCTCTAAGGGAACTTTACTAATGGGTTTGTGAGGATACAAACTACAGAGTCCATAAAGCTTAATTAAATGGCCCCACTAAATAGATTTAAACAAAATATTTTTTTCCAAGAATGCTGGTTATAATCTCGAAAAAAAAGCTAAAGTAAGTAAAACCTCAGGCTAATGAGAAAGAGCCAGGTCCCACGAAGGACTAATGTCAGAGGCTCTCCTGGCTTGTGGTAGTGCCATTTCTGCAAATAATAATGTAGAATAATACTCCTTGCTTTACCCAAAGCTTTTTCAAAGATTTTTCCTAACATCTATGTTATTTGGATGGTATTCAGAATTTTCTAAAGAAACAAAGGAGCCCCAGAAAAGGAGAATATAGGGGAAAAAAGAAGCCAGCTCATCATAAGAGAGGTAAAGAGTTAGGAAGTTTACAACATGTCAGAAGGAAGGCATACCCTGCACTGATTCAACAATAAAATGAGACAATTTTTTTCTTCCAGTTATTTTTAGAGAAAATGACCTCTGAATGGAGACAAGAGGTCTACTCTTAGGACGCTTGATTTAAATGTTGGAGGAAGCCATGATATAAGATCAATAACAGACTGGAATTAACAGTAAGTTCATGACCAGAAACTCTTACAATTATGGAATCATATAGATGTTACATAGATAAATGTTAAAAAGACACATGTCATTAGAGTTACTTCATAGTATATGTTCAATTATTTTCCAATCAATCTCTTTTGCTTTCCTTGTGTTTTCAGACATTGTCTCTGTACATGGACCAGGCTAGACTTGAATTTAGATTCTCCTGTCTCAGCCTCCAAGGTGCTGGGTTTATAAGCATGTGTCAGCACACCTGTATCTTTTTTGTTTTCTTTTCCATGTGAAAAAATATTTACTGATTTTTTAAGTAACAGAATTGATTGCTTATAGAGGTTCAGGTTTTTATTCACTTCTTCTCAAATTCCATAGATAGACATAATTTAGAAAATTCCTATAGTTCAGTGACTAAATAATCGATATATGAAATCTTCTGTATGTTCTAACATGCTGTGTTGATGTGATAGGTTATCAAACTATGTAAAGCTCAAAGCCCCAATGTTAAAATGGGTGAAGCCATCACTCTCCCTCAGAAGGTCACTTAGATTGTGGCACAAAGTACTGAGCACAATTCTTAACTTCAGTAAATGTTCTTCTGTGTTAGTTGCTACCATGCCCTAAATGTTTTCAAAATGTCTATGAAATTCTGCCGTCTTTGTTTATAATGTCAACTGCTTGTTTATGGAACAGTACATCCTGGGAAATTAAAGCATTTCAATTTTGTTAAGGGATAAAACTACACAAAGGACCCTGGGTGACAACCAGCTACAGGAGATTTCCCAAAAACTCACATTCACCTGGGATGTGGCTGTCACTGACTGAAATAAGCTATCTCAGTATTTGTAAAGAAAGCATGTGTGGCTTTAAACTATCAGAAGTCAGCATGGAGGCGAAATTGCAGAGAATGAAATCATCCCCAAAGGTTTCTAAGTTGCGGAGGCAGCAGATATAATGTAGAGGTGCTGATTGCAAAATTCCTAAAATAGTCTTCTCAAAGAAGCTCTGCAGGAACGAGACAGTGGATAAAGATGGTCAGCATTACTAACGCAACACATTTCTGCAGCCCACTACACAGCAGTAAGTGAACATCTGCTCACTTGCTGTCAGGACAGAATTAAATGCATCCTTAGCCTTAAAGTGTGGGTACAGCCTCAGCATCCCAGGGGCCATGCAGTCTTCTTTTTACAAAGCTTTTTAAGTTATAAACACTATTTTTCCATCAATTTAAAGTTTTTAGGGAAACATATTAATATACCCAGGAAGCATGTATGGTAATTGAAGTTACTTCTGCATTAAAAAAAAAAACTCCCATGAATACTCTGTGTCCCAGACACAGCTGAATTGCCTTAGAGTGATATTTTCTGGAATTTCAAGTTTTATATGTATCAGGTACACAGTTTGAGCAACAAAATCTATGGTGTTTGGAAATGGGCACCTGAGGTAACCAAAGAACTAATTTTGAAAGGTTTGATTGACAAGGTCCAGCAAGTATCACCTTTGCCCAGCATCCAAATCTGTCACCCTACTAACAGAAATCTTGACCTAAAAGATATGGACAACTAAATACTAAAGTTGTATTAAGTTGGCAAAGACAATTTAAGACTTTATTAGTACTCATGGTTTCAAAGTTAAGAAAAACAAGTAAGTAATGACTAAAACATGAACCTAAATCATCTGTCAGTAAAATTGGCACCAGAGAGAAGGTCATGGGGCAAATTGCATCCAGTTGAGGTGGCTCACTCTTAACAAAATCAATCTTGGCTTTTCTGTGTTGCTTAGGCAGACACAGAGGACTGAAAAGTGCATAAGAAATATTCTAAAACTTCCTCTAGCCCTGAATCTCATGTCAACTGTCACAGCAAACATTAGTCTGCAGGGGAACTCACTACACACCATATCTAGCTAAAGCTACTGAAACACCAATGACTAAAACTTTCAAGTACAGTGATTTCATGGTATCAACTAAGAAAATATGTCACTCATGTAAATGTCATTTAACATTGGGGGGGGATCAAGACAGGGTTTCTCTGTGGCTTTGGAGATTGTCCTGGAAATAGCTCTTGTAGACAAGGGTGGTCTTGAACTCACAGATATCCGGCTGTCTCTGCCTCCTGAGTGCTAGGATTAAAGGCATGGGCTGCCACTGCCCACCATGTCATTATTAAATGGAAAAGAGAAAGCATTTAACATTTAACATTTAAATGTTAACATTTAACATTTTGACAGGAATAGATACCTATCATTCATCCGTGCCTTTCCTCTTAGTCATTCTAAATTAGCTGAAGGTTAAATTAAATCTAATTCATTCCTTAAACCTAAACAACTTAATATATAGCATCAAATTAGATAATTTTATATAAAATTGATTTTAAATGATAATTATTGATAAGAAAATGGGGGCAGTTTACATCTCTCAACCTTCCACAAAGAAGCTTCTATTAACACTACATTGCCACTAACACAAAGACCCACAAATGGTCAATGTGCAGAGAATAAAGGACTGTTAAGTGTCCAGCTCTAAATGGTACATGTATATCAACCCACTTCCTTCAAGACTAAGGGACCATCGCGGAAGAGTACATGGAAGGATTTTAAGAGCCAAAACTAGTGAATATCTTCAGCAAAAGTTTTTGCTGGGTATGACAGGGGTTTTGCAAATGTCAACTCATAGCAGCAGGGACTTCATGCACAAGATCTACACAAGATCAAGTCAGCCAAAACATCAGCCCCTCAAGAAACACCACCTCTACCTGAGGCGGGTATTGGCAACTAATGGCTGCTAGGGAAGGAAGAGCCATTTTCTTCAGGGATCTGGTCTCTGAGAGTGTACCCATGCTCCAGCAGATGGTCCTACATACAGGCAGCATTAGTAGTCCCAGTTGTTTTTTTGTTGTTGTTTTAAGCATAAGAAGTTGGGAGTAAAAGGTGTGAAGGGGATAGTGGAGGAATTGGCAGAGAGGAAATAGGGGGTTATGTTCAATCAAAAGACATTACATGCATGCTTGAAATTCTCAAGCAATAAAAAAGCAAAGATAAAAATAAGATTACAACTGATTGCTATATTATTCAAATAATAAATGACAAAGGAAATACTTGGGCTAAATTGGTCCATAAAACAGGTTTAGAATGAAATTTTCTTCAAATATAAAATGCTTTAAAATACCTCTCATCTTTAACTGAATATTTTTGTTTGGCCATCTCAAATGTTAAAACATGAAATACTTTCCCACGAAGTCTTGTAATAACCATTATATTATAATTTTTGCCATGCATAAGTTTTAATTGGCTGCATAAATAAGCTTGTCTTTTATGGGCTTGCACTGGATTTAATTCATAAAGTTATTTAGGAAAATAAAGGATGTGTTGAAATGAGCTTAACCACGAGATGAATATGAGAATTATTCTATTTCAACAGCATTAGGAATTAGTATGTAAATTAAAATCTCCTTACTCATTATTCAAAATTATCCCCTTCTCTCAAATGCATGAGAAAAGTTAGAGAGGAAAGTGATTCTCTGGAGGAAGAAGTATAAAGAAAGAGAAGTAAAATAAGTAAAAGATGAAAATAAAAGGTTTAAGAAATTGAAGAAACAATTTCATGGGATTTTATAGAATTATAGTTAACTACTACATCACTGTATCTTAAAATATATCACTTTAAATTCAAAGCACAAAGTCAACACTTCACAATGAAAATGTCTATTATCATGACTAGCCATTCTAATTTGTTGAAGACATGAAAATTATGGGAAGTCCCAGTCCCTGGCAGATGAATTGACTATGTGATTTTTTTAATTGTCTTGTTCTGAAACCTGGGCTCTTATGGGTTTTCCTCCAAAGTCATAGTTGGAGATACAAACTTACCTGGAACTGCTGTGAGCTCCGGATTGTGATGACATTTCTCTCCCACTGACTCTGGAGTACCTCTGTTTTCTGCCATACATGCTGGATTGGACTGTCACATGTGGTTTGAAGGCCTGCTATCAATTTGTCATTCCGGTGACTGAAGAAGTCATAAAATGTAATCTGTAAGGAATAAGTGGTATCCAAATAACTACAATAAAGTAATTGCCAAGTGTGTCAGAACTTGAAATGCTTTGTGTTTTCAAATACCTGACAAACTTGCTGTTCATTAGTTGGAAGGAAAATTCTGCTTCTTAGGTTTGAGGAGATGGAATTCACTCTGGAGGCCAATGTGAGAAAATGTGCTGTGATGAACAAGAATTACCAAGTTAGACTTAAGCTGATCACTGGAAACCTTATTTTAAGCCCTAGAAGTGACTCTGATACTTATACCCATGGAGTCAATATAGCTGTGTTTAAAGGATGAAAAATTAAAATACACTAGTGAATTGACATATTTTTACGTCTTATATTGTCCTTTTATAATATTATTATGGGCAACAGACCAAATAGAAATATAGTAACATTTGACACAAGAAGTGACAACTCCATAAAGAATTTATCCAGATAAAGACAATATTGGGATTAGGCAATGAGAACATTATTTTCTAAACCTTTGTTCCAAAAAACTTAGGTGACATGGTTGTAGGTTTTTGCAGAAACACCAGGAAGAGCATTGCATCCTAATATTTTCTCACTTGTTGTGGTAATAACAAATATACCACTGTTTGGAAACTAATAAAATACACACCAAGTATTCTTTAGACTGTCAGTGAGTGCCTGATGTGCTTTATCAGGGTTATCACAGTTGATACAGACACATCTATTATGTGACACTCTGTTTGGTACACTGATGCTTGTCAAAAGAGAAGAAAAATAGTGTTGACAGTGATTATGATGACCTATCTATCCAAGTCACTCACTGGTATTTTAAAGCATACTGGAAGTCAAATCTAATTGTCACATCATTGAGTCGATCAATACTGATATTATGAACCCTACCAAACCTCATCTTTTCTGGTATTCTGGTGGAACAATTGGATACCTATTTATCTTGCTCTTAGAGCAGTAAACTGATGCAGAGAAAATTACTAATTAAGAAGCATAAGTGTTGGGAAGCCCTGCTGTTCAGAGGTTTCAATCTATCACAGTCTGATAGCTTTTGCCAAGGTCGGCAATATGAAGGACTCTCTCCCCAGTGAGGCCCTTGTTTGGAGGATGTCCTAGACCCAGATGCCTGACTTATCTCTAGTGTAACCCTTGGAATAATTCCCTGCTAGAGGCTTTCCCCTCTGTTGACCACATGAGAACTACGACTTGCACTAGGAGCTTTGCTATAGGACTCTACTGCCATATATGAAGGATTATGATAGGAGCATGCTGCTTAATGTAAATTAGGGTTTGTCCCCAGGTTTCCCAATCCTATATATTTTCTATTCTCTGGAACAGAATTGAGTGATGTTGCTGAACTCATCTCCCAGGGGGCTATCTCTATCATATCCACAGCCAGCTGAGCCATGTTCCTGCTTCTGTTCCCTTACCACCTAAAGGACAGGCAGGATACAGTGTTGGATTTAAATAAAGTATTAGCTCTGTTAATGGAATTCAATGGGATTTAAATTATTACATACAAATATATTCCCAGACCAGCATATCAAGAAAGGGAAAACACACACACACACACACACACACACACACACACACACACACACACACACCACATGCACACACATACAAAACCACCACCACCACAACAAAAAAATAACAAGAATCAACAAACACTGCTCTCAACATCAACAGTCTCAATTACCAGATAAAAACACACAAGCTAAAAGAATGGCAGCAAAATAATAATCTATCCTGTGCTATCCAAGAAATACTCCTTATTAAGGATAGATATCACCTCAGGGTTAAGGGTTGGAAAAAGGTATTCTAAGAAAATGGACCTAAGAAAGAAGCTTGTGTAACTATAATATCTGAAAAAATAAACATCAAACTAAGACTAATTAGAAGAAACAGGAAAGGACATTATATACTCATCAAAGGAAAAATTCACCAATACAACATTGGAACTTTTAATATCAATGCACCAAACACAAGGACATCCAAGTTCATAAAAAACTACTATACATTATAATTACATATTGACCTTAACACATTGAAGGTGGGAGAATTTTAAGATACCACTAATGAATAGACAGATCATCCAGACAAAAAAGAAATACAAAAATGCTCCAGGTAACTGAAGTCATAAACCAAAGGAACCTAACAGATATTTGCAGAACATCTCACCCAAACACAAGACAATATACCTTCTTCTTAGCACCAAAGTGAACTTTTTCCAATCCTGACCACATACTCTGACACAAATCAAGTCTTGGTAGATACAAGAAAATTGAAATAATATGCTGTATCCTATCTAACCACCAAGGATTAAAGCTGGAAATCAACAACAGAAAGCTCACAAGCTCTTGGAAGCTAAACAGCTCATTTATGATTGAAAATTGAGTCAAAACAGAAATTAAGAAAGAAATTAAAGACTTAGCAGAACTCATTGTAAATTAATATACAATGTACTCAAACTTATGGAACTCAATGAAAGCAGATCTGCGAGTCAAGTTCATAGCACTAAGTGCCTTGTAAAAAAAAAAAAATGGAGAGACAGCTCACCTGAACGTTCTAGAACAAACACAAGAAATCAAATCCAAAAGGAGTAGATGGCAAGAAATAATCAAACTCAGGACTGACATCAATAAAATGGAATCAAGAAAAATAACAACAGAAAACAATACAAAAAATCAATGCAACAGTATCAATTCTTTGAGAAAATCAATAAGATAGACAAACCCTTAGCAAAATTAACTAAAAGGTGGAAAGAAGATCCAAATTAACAAAATTAGAGACAAAAGAGGGGACATATCAACAGACACCAAAGAAATACAGAGAACCATAAAGACATACTTTAAAAGCCTGTACTCCACCAAATTGGAATACCTAAAAATAATATTTTTTCAGTAATATGCTACCTTCTAAAGTTGAATCAAGATCAAATAAGCAATTTATACAGACCTATATACTCTAGTGAATAGAAGCATTGAAGCAGTAATTAAAAGTCTACCAATCAAAAAATGCACACAACCAGATTATTTTAGTGCAGAATTCTAGTGTACTTTCAAAGAACTAATGCCAACACTCCACAAAGTATTTTACAAAGCAAAAGAAAATTAATACTGTACTATTTGTTTTATGAGGCCACCACCATTACTCTAATACCCAAACCACATAAATACCCAATAAAGTAAGAAAAATAGAGATCAGTTACTCAGATGATCATAGATGCAAACATTCTCAATAAAATACCTGTACACCAAATCCAAGAACACATTAAAAACATCTTCTCCTATGATGAGGTAGGCTTCATCCCAGAGATGCAGGAATAAATCAATATACATAAATCAATAAACATAATCCACCAAATAAACACACTGAAAGAAAAAAAAAAACATGTGATCATCTCACTAGATGTGTAAATGGCTATTGACAAAATATAACAACCCTTCATGATAGAAATCCTGAAAATTAAGAAACAAGGGATATACCCCAACATAGTAAGGCAGTTTACAGAAAACCCAGAGTTAACATCAAGTTAAATGAAGACAAATTAAAGCAATTCCACCAAAATCAGGAACAAGACAAGCTTATTCACTCTCTCCATTCCTATTCATTATAATACTTGATGCCTTAGCTATATCAATAAGACAACTGAAAGAGAGCAAAATCAAAGTGTCATTATTTGTAGATATGATTATTATGCAATCACTGGAAAAGATCTACCAGGAAAATCCTACAGCTGATAAACACTTTCAACAATAAAGCCTGATACAAAATTAACTCACAAAAATCAGTAGCTTCATATTTACAAATGACAGATTGAGAATGAAATCTGGAAAATAACACTTTTCACAATAGCCTCAAATATTGTAAGGTATTTTGTGGTAAAGTCTAACCAAGCAAATGAAAGACTTGTAAGATAAAAACTTCAAGTCACTGAAGAAAGAAATTGAAGACATTATTGGAAGATGAGAAGATCTCCCATGCTCATTGATCAGTGAGATTAATGTAGTAAAAATGACCATCTTCCCAAAAGCAATCTACAGACTCAGCTATCCCCATAAAAATACCAACACAATTCTTCATAGAGCTTAAAAAACAAATTTCAGCTTCATGTGGAAATAAAAATCACCAAAAAGGATAGCTAAAACAATCTCAAACAATAAAAGAACACCTGGAGGTATCACTATTCCTGATTTTAAGTTGTATTACACAACTACAGTAATAAAAACATGATATTGGCAAAATCCAGACATGTAGATCAATGGAATCAAAATAAAAACACAGTTGTAAGTCTACAGACATAAGAACAACTGATTTTTGTTTTGTTTTGTTTTGTTTTTTTAAACAGCCAGACACACTGGAAAAAAAGACAGCATCTTTAAACTAATCAAACTGTTGGTCAAACTGTATGGCTGAATATAGAAGAATCCAAACAGATCCATACCTATTGTCCTCCAGAAAACTCAACTCCAAATTGATCAAAAATCTCAACATTAAACCAGAAACACTTAACCTGATAGAGGAAGAAATGGGGAATAGCCTTGAACTCAATGGTACAGGAAAAGACTTTCTGAACACAACACTGTTAGCATAGGCCCTAAAATCAGTAATTAATGAATGAAATTGAAAAGCTTCTGCATAGCAAAGGACACATCATTCAGACAAAGAGGCAAGCTACAACATGCTCTTGGTATGTTGGGGAACTTCCAATTTATGACTAAATTTTTTTTTTTAATGACAGCTCATACTGGAAAGGGACACACTCATCCATTGCTTGTTTGACTACAAACTTATGCAGTCACTAAGAACACCAGTGTTGTGGTTCTTTGGGAAGATGGGAATGGATATACCTCTAAATCCATCTATATTACTGTTTGGTATATACCAGAAGGACATTTCATCCTACCACAGACACATGCTCAATCATGTTCATTGCTGCTCTATTCATAATAGCCCAAAACTTCAAACAACCCAGATGTCCCACAACAGAAGGATGAATAACGAAAATGTAATACACTTACACAATGAAATATTACTCAGCTGGTAAATGAAAGGTAGCCTTGTAATTTTCAATTAAATTGATGGAACTAGAATAAAATCATCCTGAGTGAGGTAACCCAGACCCAGAAAAGACAAATGTGATATGTATTCACTTATATGTGGATATTAGTTGATAAACCAATAATAACCA